ATTTTTTTATGATTATTGGCAAGTAGCGTTAGACGTGTGTTCATTTATTGTCGCGATGGTAACGACACGCTGTATATTTAGTTCGTTACATATCTATACTATAATGAAAGAGTAGAATCAGCGTATCTGTACATTGAATATATTTATGAAAAAATTATATAGGATATCACAAAAAGAGTTATTAATATTAAATCGGTATTTTTTATTTTTCAATGTGATGCTAAAAAATGTGAATGAACAGACTCCCTGATCATATTTATCATACATACATTACAAGCTTATTATTTTCTTTTTTTTTTAGAAATGTTATATTATTTGCATATTATTTCCTTTTTTTTTTTTTGAGAAAGTGGCAAACGAGCTGACTGTTCTTCCTAAGTTGAGTTAAAACCGCCGCCCAAGGACATTTGCAACACCCGTAGGGTTGCAGATGCGTTACCACATAAAGCGGGTAATTATTAAGAGTGAAATACTTGTGAGCCGTGATAGCTCAGTGTCCGGGCGCTCGCCTTTAATTCAATATACTCGAGCAACCTGAGTTCGATCCCCGGTGCCGGCACCAATGAAGTTTTTAACTTTAAGTGCTGACTTATCACGTGCTCCGCGGTAAAGGAAAACATCGTGAGGAAACCTGCATATTTTCGAAATAATAACAAAAAAAATATATTTCGAAAATATGTGAAGTCCACCAATCCGCAGTGGGGCCGCGTGGTGGACTATGCCCTGATACCCTCTATATAGAGGAGGCCTTTGCCCTGCAGTGGGACATGTATAGGCTGTTACTTTACTTTTTTTTTTACTCGCCTTCGATTGTAATTGTCTTTACGTTCTTATTTCTAAATTAATGTAACGATTAAAACAATGGCATTTTAATAGAGAGACAGAATTAACACAAATTAAATTGATTATACACACGCCTAACTTGTGCATTGTATAACGGCATTAGTTAAGGGATAAATAATTTTTTAAAGCCTTTAAAGCCACTCATTTAGGGATCACCCTAATTAACTATTTAATGTCATCGGGCCAATTTGGTAAGCGCTGTTTTACTACTATATTAAAGATATATTCCTAATCTTATCCGGAATTGGAATCTCGGAAACGGCTCCAGTGATTTTCATGAAATTTAGTATGTGCGTAGATTCGGCGGCGAAAAATCGATCTGACTAGGTTTCATTTTTATAAAATGCCGTTTTATCCAAGTTTTCAGGGAATGAAAAATATTATTCGAATACGACGGTAAATTTCACCGAGAAAAAAATGTTATAATAGTTCGGTCGGTAATACGGGCGGCCGCTAACAAACAGCCACGAAACAGAAGGCCGTGTTTCGTATCACGATCATTTACACACTTATTTTTTACTTTTTTTTTTCGATTCCAGATCATTGTTTTCTTTATCTTTTATTTTTTGTCGATTTGTTATTTTGTTTTTTTTTCCCTTTTTTTTTAAAGTTCTTTCTTTTGTGAAAAACACCAGTTCATATTTTCTTATTATTACGTCGGTAAGATCGAAACATATTATGCATATTTCATTACTTAGTAATTTGTATCTAAAGGTAATTTCCAAAATACACGATTTACCAAAAAAAAACAAACCGAGCAAAGCTCGGTCTTCCAGGTACTACTAATTTATTTGCAATCAAAAACGTAACTAAGCTATTGTCCGCGTTTTATCAACTGAGTCGACGGGCCAAAAACATCAATAGGGATAAGAATGTGCAGTGCATCCGAACATTTTAAGGATAATTCGCTATCTTCGCATGTGTTGGTCGATGAGTCATTGAGGCATTCATTACCGCACACTGATCGCTAGCTCCTGATTGGTCGTGACTTTGAGCAGCTACCGCCGCAAAGTTGTTGTTTTGCTATAAGTATACGTGTTTACTGTATTATTACATTCATACGTTGCGCACATGGAATTTATTTTATGACCCAGACCTTAAGGAGCTAACGTAACATGTGATATTAGCCCACTAGCTTTAAAATTTACAGAAAGCCCATTCATAATCAATCTACAGGACGACGATACATATTACTAACTGACTGAATAAATATTACTTATATAAGATTTATTACAAAACGGCCCTTTTCTAGGTCACAATTCTATGTATTTCGTTTCTATATTATTATTATTTCCCTTATCTATATCAGTGGCTCCATAAGAACCATAAGTGCGAGCGAAATAGACATAAAAATGATTTATGAACCGACGACTCAGTTGATAGCGCACCGAGTGTAGCTTAAGTTGAGCTTGCCTAGCAGAAATTATAAGTATTCAAGCTTCAATATTTATTAACCTACATAAACATCATAGTATATTTTATTAAATTATTAGTAAATACATGACGTTTCATAATTTTTGTAAATTTAAAAACGCTGTTGAAATCAATGTATCTAAAATTACAGGTAAGTAAGACAAAATCCGTTAAGAGCCGTGATAGCTCAGTGTCCGGGCGCTCGCCTATAATTCTATGTACTCGAGCAACCAGAGTTCGATCCCCGGTGCCGGCACCAATGAAGTTTTTAACTTTATGTGCTGACTTATCACGTGCTCCGCGGTGAAAGAAAACATCGTGAGGAAACCTGCATATTTTCAAAATAATAACAAAAAAAAAATATTTCGAATATATGTGAAGTCCGCCAATCCGCAGTGGGGCCGCGTGGTGAACTATGCCCTGATACCCTCTGTATAGAAGAGGCCTTTGCCCAGCAGTGGGACACGTGGGCTGTTACTTTTTAGACAAAATCGTATTTATAAAAGTTTTACTTAACAGTTTAAATACTTTAAAAATTGATCTTCGGTCATCATCATCAACATCTTGACTTCAGCTTGTCACTGAACTTTTGTCCACTGCTGACTAAAAAGGCCTCACCAACAAACAGACACGACGCAGGATCCTGAGCCACCTGCATCCATCGACTTCCGTTTTTGGCACTCGCGTTTGGCCTCGGTCGTTCTATAGTACATAGATATTCTATAGTACTTCTCAACTATAGTTCTATAGTAGAGAAGCTTTCTTCCCCATCGATTATCGGTTCTTTGAGCTATATAACTGGCCCATTGCCACGTATCTTTCTAAGCCTCTTTATAATATCTTATAGAATATCTTTCTACTGTAGCACGACTTTCACCTTCCTCACACAGCCATCTATGAAGGACCAAGTCACAGTTCCGTATATCATCTCTGGCAACTCACATTGATCGAATTCTTTGGTCTTCAAACATATTGATGTATACAAAATTATTTTCTTCGCTCCATCATCATATTAACTTTCGTTATAAGTCTGCCTAAAGATAAGTATTCTTAAACAACTTTGTTGACTTATCAAATTCCGTAGATAAATGACACTGGATGTTATGTTGTTTCTTTGACGGTGTACTGGGTAATTCATCATGCGGCCAAGACAAAGAAATATTTTTTCGTCGGATAATCTACTGAATACAGTAAAATATTAACGTCAGTAGTCACGGAAATAGCCGATTATATTTTTTTCTTTGGCGAACAGAACGGTATATACCAGTTATAACAAGGATATGTAATTGAAGTGAACAGGAAACTAATTTATTGTTCTCAATACAATCCGGTTTTTATACAACCTCAATTACAGACAGAAAAGCGACGCTATGTTTCACTTAGGAAAATCTGTTTACTATATACTGTCTCTTGCATTGCCTGCAGTATATCTGTTTCTTGGATATACTGCAGGCTGAACGCAGCTCATATACCAATTTGAGCTGAACCAGACTTCTGGACTATATGTCTATCCTGGCAGCTTTGTAAGATTTAATTAAATTGATTGAGTAATTTAAAAGGGAACATGAAGTAAGCCACGAATTAAACCCAATAAAAGTTGTTTTATTGACTAACTTATTATACTAGAGAATAAAAGATCTTAAAGCCGATTCCCTGATAAATACGGTGTCGTGAAATACATATATGTACTTTTTTTTATCATAATTACATATATGTAAATGTTATACTATCTTATAAAATGTCGGAATATTTTTCGTCGCTACCGGATTCTACGCATTCTAGGTAACGCACCCACGCTTTAACCACTGAGCTAAGCGGCCGTTGACCATAGCTCAGTTGAGAGCCCAATCTCAAATAGAGATTAGCACTAAAATTAAAGAAATAATCGTGGTAAGTATTATATTTCCAGTGGTAGGGCCATGGTGAGCCGTGATAGTCCGTGTCCGGGCGCTCGCCTTTAATTCAATATACTCGAGCAACCTGAGTTCGATCCCCGGTGCCGGCACCAATGAAGTTTTTAACTTTAAGTGCTGACTTATCACGTGCTCCGCGGTGAAGGAAAACATCGTGAGGAAACCTGCATATTTCCGAAATAATAACAAAAAAAAAATATATTTCGAAAATATGTGAAGTCCGCCAATCCGCAGTGGGGCCGCGTGGTGGACTATGCCCTGATACAATCTGTATAGAGGAGGCCTTTGCCCAGCAGTGGGACATGTATAGGCTGTTACTTTACTTTGACTTTAGGCCATGCAACAATCTTCGCTGTTGCACGAAAGCGCATGTCCGTCCACAGAAGACCGGCGTGAAGTGCAAGTGTCATAAATCTGCGTTTCGGCTGGTGTGGGGTAACCGGGACCCACTTTGTTAATTAATATAAAACATTTAGCCTATTTGAATAAAAGAGGTCCACTTTATTAAAAGGTGGCAACGCATCTGCAACGGCGTTGGTTATGGCCACCTTCTCACTAAAAAAAAAGTAGCGTATCGGCCCTCATTGGGAAAGTTTTTTTTTAGCCAAAATTCTGTTGCTTGGTAATAGCGATCGAAGATAAATAATTCAAACACTGTCCTTTTACCTTTATTTATTGCTTAAAAAAAAGTAATTTTATTCATTTCCGCGATTTCGGGGTTCCTAACGTTACAAACAAAAACAAGTTATTCACGGTGAATATGCATTTAATGGCTCTTTAATTCACTTAAAATTACCATACACTTAGCCTAGTTAACGTTTGAACACATTAGAATGGAGGGAGCCACACTTCGAATTGGGCGCCGTAGCCGAGCTTCTTGCGGAGCGAGGCCTCGAAAGCGGCGTCTCGTCCGCTATCCCTCGGCGCGCGGATATCGCGCCCACTTTCCTTCACCACTTCCCTCGCGGCTCGAACGAACTTGGACACGTGGGCCACGCTCTCTCTAGCGTCCTCCATTGACAATTGCTGTAATGTACCAGCAAGTAGAATTGTAAAACAACAGACTAAATATTAAAGTCATGCATAGACAAAAGCCTCCCCTCGACATGTATATATAAATATAACCGTATTTCTATTTGGGAGGTATACAGGTATATCCACAAAGTTTTCGTGGCTCTCACTGCATAACACGTTTCGAAGCATTTAAACTTCGAAGAGAGATAAAAATTATTCGAGTTCAAATCTCATTTTCGAGTTATTGAAAAATATTTCTACTTGATTTGCACGATGACCATGAATTTATAGCAAACTTATAGAACTAGTTCTATTGACATAAGTTGGGAATGGAAAAAAAAATATATTCATCTAAGCAACAACCTCACGGGTCCCGAGTTCGATTACTAAGGATAGGTGTTTGCTCTTTTTTTCTTTTTAAAACCATAACATTTTTTAACTTAACATTATCCTGTGTTATAGGCACATTTTAAAAACACAAATTTCACGTAGTCCAATATTCGAGATGATTATCTGTGGTTTATACAAATATTTGTCAGTTTTTGTTCAAGATACAAATCATCTCGATCCGCGTGTATGACCTTTTTTGTATCAAACATCCCTTTAAAATAGGTAAATTTTAACCTGCAATAGGTGGATATTTAAATAAATGTATAAAAACAAGAAAAACAGATGGCTTCAATTTTCGAGTACAGCACTCCAAAACCTATATCTGTCTGTACACTTTATAACAACATTGACGGCAAGAATTGCTCACTCAGGCCGATCCATGAAAAAACGTGTCAACAGATATGGTATGCCATACTTTACATTAAACGTGTGAACAGATTACTCCTTAGGGTCGTGTGGAGCTTCTAGAAACTTCCAACCTGCTCGTCGTCGGGCAGCGTGTGCGGGTATATGCGCACCCAGCGGCCCACGCGCGGGGCGCTGCGGTGCCACCGCACGCCGTTGCCCCAAGTGCACGCGCTGACCATCCGCCGGCGGCTCGCGGCCGTCGCGTATCCGCCCCGCCAGCTCTCGTCCGCGCAATCCGCCGGCGTTATGGCCACACACGACGTCGACTGCGCACAACGCACCGTCCCTGCAGCTTATTCGTAGGGCTAAATACTGCCTACCGTTTTGAGCAGAGGTATTCAAACGGTCGATCGCAGAGAATAGAGACAAAATGTCGTATTCGTTTTTGCAAAAAATTAATACAATAAAATGATGTCATATTTCATTTAATTTTTTTGCATCAGTAGTCTTGCGTCAATGTCATGCGTCGGCTTTGGAAGATTATAAAATAAAATTTTGATACCTTTGTTTTATAATCTTCCAACATTAAAATCAAAATTTGAATCTGATAATGTTAGGTAGGTACATGTGTCCATCCATAAATCGATACCAAAAGAGTATGATCTCCCAGTCATATATTTCTGATAGGTCGATCTCCGTAGAAAATAGGAAAAGTGTTGAGTGTTGAAAAGGGAACTTTGTACCCGTGGGCGACTATAAAAGGAGAGGTATAGAAGGAGACTATAAAAGGTGTTATCAAGTACCCTTATACAATCGTGGCAGTCTATGGGGGAGGCCTATGTTCAGCAGTGGACTCAAACATGCTGAAATGATAATGACGATGATGATGACCCTTATAAACCCAACCTAAACCAGACTAAACAATTTAAAAATATAATAATAATAAATATACAATTTAAAAATAGTTACTGAAATGTCAGTTGTACAACACTTTAGAATGAAGTAAATACATTTTTTTCACAAATTAAAAAACTTATTCAAATGTCATTTAATCTAATTAATGGTGATTACGATAATTAAGCTTATGGTAATAAAGCTAAGTACACATACAAGATATACCTGCGAGTCGCAGGTCTCCGAACTTGTTTCCGTTGGCTTAAGCGGCCGGCTCATTTGAATGTTTTTGTCGTTATATTCCTATTAAACAATTAAATATACATTTTACTTAAAAGCAACAAAAAAATAAAACAATAGTAAAAAAAACCCATTAACTCTACGCAAACGGTATTGTATAAAAAGTATTTGTAGTCATTAACTTTTTTTGAGAATTTTAATATGACGTCGTTCCGCCTTGTCGTGAGATCGTTATATTTAGTCGTTGAACATTCATTTGTACATCAAAAAACTTTAATTTGTGATTCTTTAATATTAGCTGTTGCTTTTTTTATGGGGGTGGAGGTGGGGGATGGAAATCTTCATAATCCCTATGTCTTGAACGAGACAAGGTTATGTGGAGATCTTACCAACTAAAACCTCCTCAGTGATGACCCTAAGTTGGGAGGAGTTCCTGGATCTCCTAGGGAATGCACCGATGCCCCTCTAAGCTATACGCGAGGACAGATTAACCCTTCTTGGAGTGAAGGAAGGGTTAACCTTTCCTTTTTTGCTTTCCAGCAACATGAGAACACGTTACCGCTATAGCAAGTCCGCTATAATAGACTAGCGAGAACCCAGTTTCCCATGTTACTACAAGCTGGAGGTAACTTAGTCCTATTCAATCAGCTCATATCTACAGGGCTATTGTCAAAAAAAGTAGTAAAACTTCCAGACTTACAACAGCAGAAACCACTTCTGGTGGTTCACCTGATGTTAAGTGATAACCGCCGCTCATGGACATTTGCAGCACCCGTAGGGCAGCAGATGCGTTGCCACCATTCAATAAAGCAGGAATTCTGTCTTGTCACTTCCCCAGACGGACCTGCCCATTCGGGCAACAGAGAAGACTGTTGCGTGGCCCTACCACTGTTTCTGTCACAATGATATTAACAAGATTCTAACCGTGTACGTATCTGGCAGTGGTGCCTGTAAGGTGACACAGTGTATGGGCATCGCCCGTCGACGTCTCCAGCGCTGACCTCTACGCGGTCCCGCTGTTTTCACACGAGAGGGCACGGAGCGGGCCGCAACGCCCTCTTCCTCTGAACTGCAACTAGCGTCTTCTCTGAAATGAAACTCTTTTATAGGTATGCAGTTCAAATCGCACCTTTGCTATGCTTCTATTTCTCATACATTTTGACGAATTACCTGTTAAGCAGTGGCGTTGGCGGACCTTGCAGTAGCGATAAACCTGTGTGCCGCATGGGTAGTCCCAGCAAGTCGAACAACTCGTGCAACATTGGTTGCTTCACAATGACGTCAGCCTCGCAGTCTGCTGCTAGGGCGGGCGAAAGGTTTACCTGCACATTCCATTTTGTCTTCACTGCTCAATATATGTTATAAATGACAGTAAGATAAAAAAAGTGTCAACATTTCGTGGTTATTCTATAATTTAATTTTCAATTGAACTAAAAATTAAAAAATAAAAAATCTTTATATCCGTCAGGAATTTCCGGTAAAATTTCAATGAATATGTGAAATAGTGTGAAGTTTGAAAACGAAAAAAGAAACTAGAAAACTTACTGAAAAAAAAAATTGAAAACTAAACAAATATTTACAATTTAATAAATTTGAAAAAATTAAATCTCCAATTGAATCTCAAAACAAACATTTTCAAAAATTCGTGTCTTGCTTAAAGAATCACTGTAACAAGCAGTACCTACCTCGAGCAGCCATGGCTTCAAAGACTCATCGAGCAACACATCGAAGCCGTAGAACTCGAAGCAGTTCCTGGCCGGTGGAGTGCCAGCGGCCTGCGCTAAAAGGGTCAGGGTTACGAGGGCCCTGATGCGCTGCCACACGAGCCACTCCACCGCGCCCCATCTGCCCACCAGCGCTCGCCTCACTTGCTTCAACGTCCATTTGCAACCTGTTGACGTTACCATTGCACATTGCATTGCGTTATACCATCACATGCGAATCATGGCGAAGGAAAACATCGTGATGAAACCTGCATATTTTCAAAATAATAAGCAAAAAATATTAAAGAAGAAAAGATGATATCTAAACTCTGGCAATCGACAGTGGGGTAGTGTGGAGGACTCTGTCCTAATATCCTCTAGATAGAGGATACCTGTGCCCAGCAGTTGGGACATGTATTTACTTTACTTTTTTTATATGCAGACTTAAAAATAGCCGGGTAGTCTTGGAGAAAGAACGGCCGCACACCTTTATTTCTTATGAAACTTTGTCTTTCTCCTGCCTTTATTTCAGGAAGCTGAGGTCGGCCAATCGACAAATTATCATCGTTTCACTCTGCTTAATTAAGACTCAGAGTATGGCAGGTGATGCTGGTCACCGTAAACTGAACACAAAAACCGCATGATAATTAATAGAAAGAAATAAAAATGAGAAACGTCAAGCATATACATGCATGTGGAAGTTTTGCCCACTTCCGTAAACCGCAAGTCGAAGAAGTATCGCACCACCGTGCGACGAATGAGTCTTTTTGGTAACGTTTGTTCGTCTTTTTTATATCACTTAGTAGTCTTAACGTCAAATCACAACACATTCCGCGCAAACGCCACCATCAGATAACCTCAAACTGTCACGTCAATGCCAGCGATGTCATTGTTATATATAAATATAACCTTTGTTACCTTGGCATCATACGTTTCATAACGGCGTTCACTCACCGCTGCCAATTCTGTCCTTGCACTCGGCGTATCTAGGTCCGGTTTTGTTGAGGGAAGAGTTGGTCAGGTGCCTGTACGGATTATGAATATCGGACAGCGTGTACTTGTCAGTTCCTGTAAAAGAAATCGACAAACTTACGAGTGTGTAATATTTGAATAAGCAATAATAGGTACCTACAATGGTTATTTTGGTAAAATAAATGATGATTTCCCCATTTAAAACTAAGTAATCAAACCCAAACCAAACAGAAGCATTTAATTTAATGATTTGACGGCAAATTGTCTTATATCCCACCATATAATTATAAAACCACCAGGGTCAATGATCATTTTATAATTTCAGGATCGCTTATGCGCCTTACCTACTTACCTATGTACCCTCTTTGCCTACTTAAAAGACCAACCAAAAATATAATTAAGTATTTATTTATCTTCAAAATACTCGACTTTAATATAAACCGGATTTTTGTAAATAAAAATCTGTTTCATACATTGCTGGTTAAAAAATGTATATCGAATATATGGAAACAAAGTAATTAGTATACGTAATTAGAAGCAAAATATTAGGACAATAATACTTGGAAGTGACTCTTGCACTTACAAGTTTAGCTGCTGATGATTTTATACTTTAATAATTTTTCATAGTAATAAACTAAAAAAAAAGACGGTAAAAAGATCGCAAAATTTCTCTCCGGTTCTTCCCTGCACAGGTCTAGTTAAGTGAACCAGTGGTAATTTCTTGACGTTCAATAAGAGCTTAAAACAAGCCTATTGAATAAAGAAATTTTTACTTTGACTTCGATTTTGAAACGAAAGATATCCATGGTATAATGCTGTTATTTATTCTATGGATATTTATTAAGTTAAATGAGCTGCATTTAAAGTCACGTACCGAATCTAGCTAAGCCCTCGGCGTACATATAGGCTGTAAGAGGTCGGTACCCCGGCACACAAACGTAAAGTCTGAGATCGAACTTGTAGCCCGCGATCAGCAGCGGTCGCTCTATGTACCGCTGCACCACAGCCGCACTGCCGCAACGCATTTCGCAGACGCTCTGTAAATATATTTATCAAAGTTAAAAAACGGTAGCTGACAGAGCGGAGAAACGGGACGGTAAAAGTGTGCAAATAAACGTGTCACAACTTTTGTGTTTCACACCACTAGATTAAAATTATAAATGTACACACATCTAATCAAGTTATTTTTACAAGTTTATATACATAATTAATGCAATTTTAAAGTTGCTTTAATAAACATTTTGATGAAATTTAAAACTAAAATTTACTTTTTAAGAATATTGAATGTAACCCTATTTTACTATTTCCCTATTGTATACATTTATGTACGTAAACTTCGACATACTGACAAGCGGACAGTTACCACATAGAGTAATTTATTATTTAACCTCATGGAAACCTGTCTCTTGCGCCAGAGGGCGTGTTTGGTCACGTACGACTGGAAAAAATATTGTGTAATGAACATAATATTTTACAAGTGTCTGGGTTCTTACATATCTGTAATATGAATCTATTGACAAATAAAGTATGTTTGAATATATTTATCAGTTATCTATTATCCATAGTAGGTACAGGGTTTGCTTAAAGGGAAAACTTAATATTTTATAGAAAAAATAATAGTATTCTAGAAAGGCTTATGTAAAATCTGCAATAAACCCTTACTGAGCTAGTTAACTGATCATTCGCCTCTTTACATTCTTTTTAACTCACTTTAACCCGAAAAATAGTTTCGTCGGTTTTTCTTGATTTAAATCATATATTTCCGTATTAAAGCGATGAGAGGTGCTGTTACATTCATTTTTACTTTTCCTATTAGTATACCGTTTTTTTTTTAATCACCCGAAATAGAAATATCCCGCGGCCCTGGCTCTGCGCGACTGGCTTGTGTATCCAGACGACGTTGGAGCCGGATCCATCTTCGGCGCGTCTGAGCCTCGAGCACTCGGAGACCAGCTTGGCGTATTCCAGAGGCAAGTGGAAACACGGCGGGCTGGAAAAGGCATCAAGGGAATGTGTGTAGAACGAAAAGCTTTCGGCGCATTTGAGACTGTCAATGGCAACGAAATCGCTGATACGCAAAATTAAACTAAGAATAATACGAGATGTTTAAAATTATGAAATATGATTGTAAATAATTAATGCAGCAATGGAAGATTTTCGTTCAAATTTACGCGGTTTTTTTGACCTAAGTTTATTATTTTAATTCAGAAGACTCGAGTCATAATGTAAGTATATCATGCGAGAAAAGTCTGATGTCCTGGATTGGCTAAAGAGCTCTGTGACTGACATTTGACGTCGACACTATTTTTAAAATGTGTAGAAAAATGTCAAAAATATTTTTGTCATTTTTCTTCAAATTTTAAATTTTACTTTATTAGAAATTACGCCTTCTGGACAACGTGCCCAAAGATTTAGCTACTAAATTAAGCGTGTGGGTGCGTGAAAATCTCCACTTCTTATATGGTTGATAAGTGAACTGCCTGAATATAGGCCTCCCCCATAGACTGCCACGAAGTACGATCCTAAGCCAGCCGCATCCATCGACTTGCACATTTTCACCGGTCGTCATTCCATCTAGTGGAGGGTCATCATCCACTGCGATGGCCAGTATAAGGCTACCACTCCCTATATAATCGGCCTATCGTCATTTCAGATAGCTAATCTTCTGAGCTATGTCGGTTACCTTTGTTCTACTACGGATGTCTTTGTTGAGAACTCACGCAGAGAAATACCAAGCATACCCCGTTCCATAGTTCGCTGAGCGACTTTGAGCTTTATTTCAGTACTTTTTTATCATTGCATTTCAGCAATGTTTGGAGCATTCTTGGCAACACTAATCCCAATTTAGTAGGATAAAATCTGTACTTTCAAGATACTCGGAACAATATATTATCGCCAGCATCACAAAAGACTTTTGAGAGCGTTCGCTTGATAGATAGGAAAACCGGAACCGACATTCGTGCGCTTTAAGACATGATAAAGCCTAACCAACGGAACGGAAGTCTTCGGCGTTGCTGACATCACAACGTCACTGAAATCAAGAAGCGCGTTTTCGCCAATTCCAGTTCCAGGCCTTTCTTTAGGAAGCGTCACGCGATCGCGCGGTACCACTTGGCATAATTGCTACTGAAGCACAACTGGTTAATATTCCAAATGATAATTTAATATCGCCGTGAACTTTCGAAGTTTTTAACGTGACCTCCAAGCGTCACGGGACCAAGTTCGCTAATTCAAATTCAACGCGGCCTTGCCCTCCCATTGCAGTTGGGAATCAGTTGTTCGCAATTGTTTTAAACTGTTGTAAAGTTTATAATATTAATCGCAATTACCTTGGATTTTAATTTCAACGCTGCACACTTGGAGAAGTTATGAACTGCAAGGTTTTTATAGAAAATAATATTTAAAGTATCAATATAATATGAAGCAACTAGTTTTATCTTTAAAAAACAAAAACATATTACTACTATATACATAAAACATCTATATACATAAAACATATTATTAAATTTATAATTCGATTAATCTTATAACATTGGTAGTGAATATATATACAAAAAAAATCATAGAAAAAGTCAGTTCTTTTTAGTAATTCGCAGTTAGCAACCTACTTGCTCAGTTGTTATTGCCTAATAGCCGCAATGCTGAAGAATGCATTCAGACCGAGACTTGCCCCATCTTTTCTGATCTCACAAAGCTATGTTTAATAATAAATTACGTTAATACAAGACCTTCATATAACTCAAAAGCATCAAATACTGTAACTTTACCGTAACCTCACAGAAAACTGTGAAGTAGAAGTTTTACGCTTCTGTGAGTGAGATAGCTTAAGCCCACTTTATGAAAAGGTGGCAACGTATCTGCAACCATACGAGTGTTGCAAATGTCCATGGGCGGCGGTTATCACTTAACATCAGGTGAACCGTCAACATCTTTGCAACTTTCTCAAATAAAAAAAAAACTTAGGACGTTCACTACTGGACATTTTCCTATGTCTATTCTCAATAAAACTATTTCACTACAGTTTATTCCTAACATCCCGCATTTATTACAAAACAAATTTTTCATTTCGAGTGTCTTAAAATATATCAAAATAATAAAACAACCTAGTAAACACACAAAATCCATTTTTATTAAAGAAAAACAAAACCGACTTTAAATATTTCGCTCTGTATTCATTTCATAATTGATTTTCAAGAGTTCCCTGAGTATCTCCGGAATCCAAGAACCTGGGTACCATTGATATTATTATGGGGCTACATGAGAAGCACCAGGTATCAAATAAATAAAGAATCATCAAAATCGGTTCACAAAGTGGTATGTGGTATGTGGTATGTGGTATTTGGTATGTGGTATGTGGTATTTGGTATGTGGTATGTGGTATGTGGTATGTGGTAATAAACATAAAAAAATACAGTCGAATTGAGAACCTCTTTCTCTTTTGAGGTCGGTTTAAAATCAGCCACTATGTTTCTACATAATAGGCGATTGATTTTGTTTCTTTTGAAACAATTTAAACATAATTACAGGGTCCATCCAACCACCTTGTGATCATACCATTTCTGACTAGCACGATAGGCCTTTACCTTGACTTACAATGAATAATATACATTATAGTGAAAAGACAAAAAAGTAAAAAAATACAAAAAAAAAAGAGCGACAAGATTATCGCCATAAAGTTAGACAAGCTATTCAAGTAATATATAGAGACAAGACCGCAGTTTCTTGCAAGTTCTTCTCTGGGCTAACTAAATCAGTGAATACTTGTGGGTGTTGAGATTCACGTCACGAACTCTAACTTCCTTAATACTTTTATATTGAACTACTTTAAACTATCTCGTATCACTAGAAAAACACCACAAAAGTTTACATTAAAGTAATTCTAGAGTGCTCAGGATAGCACTAAAAATTTATATCATTCATTTTTAATGACAAGAACACTCACTACATATTAGTAGATTAACTATAAATATGCTCTAAACATTTAAATGTAAAACAGTCATAAGACCGATAGTGAGAGCATGATATGATACGTATAAAAATTACTCCCCCAAGAACCTAAAAACCTTGCAAAGAAAAAAGGCTGAATAGGAACGTACACGCCTCACACTTTCATCTTCAAATTCCATAATATCGTTCAGTGCATATTCCAGTGACCTTCAAATTTTCCGAACCAGATGCCCAGACAGAAAAGGTGCGTAACCTTATAACCGAGCAGCAATAGGTTTCATTAAAAAAAAAACGCCAACGCAATTCCGCTGGATATTCTTATTCTGTGTACCCATCGCTATAAACGCGAGGCCCTACAATGCCGTGCGCCACGCAACGGGCCGCGAAACTCCATTCAAATGGTCTGTGACGCGGGGCGATTGACTTGAGCTCCTTGCACCGTACACGCCAAGACAATCAACAAATGTTTCTTTGTACGATGACAAGACGTTCTCGACGCTCGTATTATGAGGGTGTGCGTCGAGGCGCAACAAAATATAACGTATGACGTGTTATGTATCGTTAATTCACCCAAACAAGCCGTCTAAGGGTTTCATACCCAAAAAGTAAAACGGGACCCTGTTACTGAGACTCCGCTGTCTGTCCGTCTGTACCTCATGAACCGTGATAGTGAGACAGTTGAAATTTTCACAGATGATGTATTTCTGTTGCTGCTATAAAAAATATTGAAGTTCCCATACAAATGACACGATTTTTTTTGCCATTTTCATAGATAACGGTACAGAACCTTTCGTGCGCGAGTCCGACTCACACTAGGCCGGTTTTTTTTGTTCGCCGTTTGTCATTTAATGCAAAGCTAAAAAAAGTTGAACATTGAGAAAGTGACGCAATACCTCTTCTGCAATGTCGTCCAAAGGAACGAGGAAACATTATAAAGGAATGCATAAAAAACTTAGTCAATTTGTCACGAATCTATTGTCCCAGTTTGAAAAGCAAATTATAATTTTAGATTATGCAATAGCAAATCAGAGTCACGATGTCTTATAAAAAATGTCGCAGACAATTAAGTCTATAAATTTATTTAATATTCTGTTCTAAAATCACATTTGCATTTCCCTAATCCACTAGAATTATAGCTTGCAATATTTTTACGACCGCTTGTGAATCAAATTTATTCATTATGACTCAAAAAATCAAAGCGTGCCCAACCGGTCCAATACACAATTACAATTTACAGCCATAATTTGAGGTTCACGATTTCGCGTGTTCGCTTCTGTTTTGTTCCTTTTCATTGTTTTAAATTATAAAAACATCCGATTGGAAAGTACGTCGAAAGGCATTACATTTATCCTTGATGGATATTTACGATTTAATCACCTCTGTAACGTTCGGTTTACATTAAAGCTGTTTCGGGAAAATTTTATTGTTACGCCGTTACGGAAATTGGACTCCCGAAATATTAGCATGATGACAAGCAAGTCGGTAAAAATTATAGGTACGCATTTAAGAATGATCGGTAGTATAAAAATAGCCTAAAAAAAATTGACTACATTCATACGCATGTAACAATATCTGACTCTCTATTTTATACCACTTTATTACTCTCATAATTTTTTTTTTTTTAAATTTAAAACATTGCCCTTACTGTAGGACAATCTTAAGCTTTTTACAAACATAAATTTCACGTGGACAAGGACCCAAATCCGAAACAATTGTGTATGGGCCACATAAATAATTTCCCGTGTGGAAATGATCCATTAATTCCTAACATGTTATTGAATAGAACGAATTATACCCATGAATTAGTTATCGCAGCACAAGCGAAAAGCAAATAACTTGCAAAAATAAAAGTATAGGGCGTCAAACATTTCCGCCAGCACTTAAGCTTACTTTTCATTTTATGTCCGAATACATACCTAAAAACATGTATGATTAGAAATTTATTTTTGATTTAAAATAAATAGAAATAATATATGTCTTACTTAATGTCACCTTGTTAAACAGTCATTGACCAGAATGTGATGCCTTGCGTACAATGGCGGTATACACACTAGGTTCAGTCAGTGATAATTAATTTTGATGTAATCTACGTAAACTGGGCCTTAAACAATTTGAGTTGTATGATGATGTGTTTGTATTAATCTCATTAAACGCAAATTAAACGCGGTACTGTGCACTGCGCACTATTCTTGAAATAAAAGAAATCATTATAAAAATAATCTAAATTATCCACTTATCAAGTTTTACCTGAAATCGTAAATGGATCCATAAATCCTTCTCATGCATCGCAGGAGTCGAGACAGGCTGTCCTTTCGACATATCGATCCCCCTTTTGGTATGTGGTTCATAAACTGAAATGGCAGTAAAGATAAAGGTGAATAAAATACTTGTCAAACACGAGCGTCGACTATAAAACCTATCAATGTCTACCGGAGCACCATAATTTTTCTATTTGGTGTAGACACGAGAGATCACGGCTCCTAAGAGTACACATAGACTCTTGTACACACGTTTCTGTACATGAAATTATTAAATATCGATGAAAGTAACCTTTACATTATATATCGAACATAACTTTATCGTCGTCTCTGTCCTCGGTCTCTGGTCTAACTTGAAGACCAGAGACCGAGCTAACGGGTATTGTTTAAGATCATTGCTTTAGCTTCACGCAATTGTATCAAAATCTACTAGATTCATACGTCACATATGGTTTCATAATACATCAACGTTGCTTCCATTCAGAAACACGTAACATACAAGAAAACCGAGGCATAACTTTTGAATAGCGATCCCATAAGTCAATGTAAGGCGCTTACACATTTCACGAGGCCTCTTGCTTAATGGATAGTGGGCACGAATACAACTGGGAAACGATCACTACTATTGTATCCATTATAACAATATTCCATGACCTTTCGTACTTTTTTATGTCCGCAGAAACGGCAGTACATATGCCACTGGCAGTACATATACACAGAAGAGAAAAGATTTTTTCGGAAATTAATTTCCGAAAGCTAATAGTAACTTTATAGTTTATAAAAAATGTACATTTAACGCTTATTATAACATATGCCAATTTAAGACGAATTCGACGTTGTAAAACTTTCGATACCGTGGGTGTGAGTTGTATAATTGTACAGATAATTATATAACCCTCAGATAATTGCGAATGCAGATAATTGTGATCGGTCATAAAAAAACACTAGCTAATAAATACTACTAACAACAAGATTGTGCAACCCCAATTAGACGAGATAAAGGAGAATGATTATTATAATACGAACTTAAACGATTACATTTTTAGAAAACTAGTTCGTCTTGGGTTGTATAAGCTTGTTGAAGTATTTTAAAAATATTGTTTAATTCAATTCAACTAAATCCTTAGTAATATTATAAAGGCGAATGTTTGTATGTATGGATGGATGTTTATTACTCTTTCCCGCAATAAATACTGAATAGATTTTAATGAAACTTTACAATAATATAGCTTATACATCAGAATAAGATATAGGCTATCATTTGTATACATATTTTATGTATATCTGTCTTTCTGTCTGAATACCTTCAGCCTATTCTACGCAGACGTAGTCGCGGGCAGCAGCTAGTATGAATATAAACTCCGACTGATGATAACGGAATCGAAAAAGAATGTTAGGCCCAAAGATATTATATCTAAACTAACGCGATAAATACGTATCATATATCATCGTATTTATTTATCATACATCATCTAAGAAACGCACACTGGTACTGGTGCTAAATCCACTCTGGTGTTGCAGATGGCCATGAGCGGATTCGTCACTCACTTAACATCATCAAGTTAACCGCCTGCTCACTTCCCAATGTTATCATTTAAAAAAAGCTTCGTACATATCCTCACAACGGTTGTACTTCTATTTTCAGCCAGTCGCTTCAATTGCCCAATACCTGCCAATCGCCGAGAGCTTTGTAGCACGCGGCCGGGAAGGCGCCCGCCCTCCACCAAAGATTCCACCGGTCCTCGCCACGTGCGCACGGCTGGTATATCCGCCAGCCGCGTTCGGCGCATACCTGACGATTAGAGGCGGTAGAATATAATGTGAATTTAGTGGATAAATAGTTAAAACATTATTTTTTGCCAACTATAATTTGGTTTTTTCGTCAATTTATATTTTAAGCCCCCAAAGTGAAAGTACAGTATCAGCCTACATATATCCCACGGCTGGGCTAAGACCTCCACTGTACGGAGGGTATTAGGGCATAGTCCACCATGCGACCCCACGGCGGTTAGGCGGACTTCAGATGATTTCGAAATATTTTTTTTGTTAATGTTTCGAAAATATACAGATTTCCTCACGTTGAGCACGTGATAAGTCTGCACTTAAAATCAACAATTTCATTGGCAACTTTTTTTTTGATATCGGAAGTATTCATAAGATAACCTGTCATGATATGATAGGGTTATGTGGGGTTTGTACCCACTAAACCCCCTCGATGACTACGTTCTGTATGTTTGGAGGGACTCCGGGACCTCCTACGGAACGCACCAGTGCCCTTTAGTACTGCGCGTGATTGCGCCTCGGAGGAGGATAAACTTTCCCCGGTTCCCTCGCCGTCTTGCATGTACACCTTTTAGTCGCCTTTTACGACAGGCAGGGGATGGATACCTTAGCTCTATTCTATGAGCCCGAGACTACAGGGCTGTGGTGACGGCACCTGGGATCGAACTAAGGTTGCTTGTGTATATATTGATTTAAAACCGAGCGCCCGGAAAATGGGTGATTAAGCCCTCATTTAACTATCATTGAAGCTGTTTGCTTCATGAGCCATAAGATGCAACACTCCAGTGCTCCAATGATAGCACGCAATTATTTTTATGGTTATGATTATTAAAAAAAATCCCATGTGTAATTAAATTTTCCCAAATGTAATCATTCTGTCAGGAAAAAAATCTATTGTTTAATGAATAGAGACTTCAATTTAAAATTGCAATGGTTTCCTTAAAAGCTTGAAAGGAAACATTGAGGCAAATTGTTTGGGTAAATTAGGGATAACGGAAGAAATACCGCTAATCATAATATCATACTACTCAGATTTGTTGCCAAAATCCGTGGAAAAACTTCGATTTAAGGTCTAGTGATAAAAATTATTGTATTTGTACCATCCAAGTGCCATCGTTCACAGTATACAGTGTACAGTATACAGTACACAGTGTACAGTAATTAATATAGTAGAAAACCTCTCTACATGCCACTGAACAAGTTTAGTTACATAATAAAAAAAGTATTTATCCTAATTGTGAAACTCGTAAAATGTATAAAAATGTCAATCATATATTAACGGAATGTGTGAAGTACAAATTAGCTCGTGACTTATTAAGAGTACTTAATTAGATTATTAAAATTAATGTTGTTCGATGTAGGTACGTTCCATCATATCTTGATGATGAATAATTGGTGATTTAAATGTATCGAAATAAAATAGATTTTATACTCTAAAATAACTAATAACCGATGATAACAGAAACGTTATCTATAAATTAATACGTGAAGCAAAAGCTTTCTACCCCTTTTACGAAAATTGCACGGACATTATATATAATATTTTTTTAATTATGCAAAAAATACATTAAATCAATATAGAAAAAATTAAACACACTACCACGTGTTAGACACACACACGTATATATACTCTTTTGTTTATTGTGTATGGTATTTGAGAATAGATTAATGTTGTTCAAACTTATAATTTAAATCAGTTATATTATCGTCGAATTTCGACCACTCGGCGAACACTAAAGTTAGAAGGGTAATTAAGGTAAAGGCAGTGGAAGGGTTATACTTTTCATCTGGTGAGTAAGGTAGCCGGGGCCCACTTTATTAAAAGGTGGCAACGGATCTGCAACACTACGGGTGTTGCAAATGTTCATGGGCGGTGGTTATCGCTTAACATCAGGTGAACCGCCAGCTCGCTTGCCACCTTCTCACATAAAAAAGTGAACGTAAAAACTTTATAAGTAATAAATTTATTAATTTCGTTATGCATTTAATGAAGTATTATAGGAAAACATTTTGTTAAATAAAAACTAAACGAATAGTAATGTGGATATAGGCGAGTTTTTCAGCAATTTAAAACATTAGGAATAATAATCTGTGTAATCATTAACATATTTTAAAGCTTTTAAACAGTATATTCTACGGCCAAGACTCACTACGTTAAGTATCGGTAAGCTAAAACGGTATCTAACCGATAAAATTGAAAATATAAAACCCTTCATTAAGATATAATCTCTATTCGTAATAAATAACAATTCTAAGACTCTGACAGACAAGTCGAGGATATTACTTGACGTGTTTAATAATGAAGCTGAATTATTTAATAATCCCGTCATTAAAGAGAGTTATAACACGGACAATGACTGTAAATAATTAACAAGTCAAGTCAACTAGAACTCGTTTAAAAATACTATATTTATGCATATAAATCGCATACCTTGACAAGGAGGCTGGGTCCGGAGCCGTTGTCATTTAACCTATAAATGAAATGCTCATCACTTTCGTCTTCCATTTTCGATGATTCTGCAAAAGAAGGTGATACAAATAAAGGTCTGTTACTTAACAAAAAAAAAACAAAACCAAAACGAACTTACCACATTAAAAATCGCCTCCGATTTTTTTGTCACCATTCAAAATCAAATAAGAAATTTATAGATTAACGGGTTAAGGATAATCTATAGCGAAGCGGTGAAAAGTCGCTCTAAACTTGTCTCGTCGATATTAAAAACGAGCGACGTGTTCCGAGAACACGTGACGGGGCCTACTGCGCTGCACGCCCGCCCGCCCTACACTGTCCCGCCGACTCGGCTAGGAACCCAGCCGGGGTAAGTGAAGTGATTTATTGCCGCGCATTCGTGACACGCCCGCTTTCAGTAAAAAGCGATGTAGGCGCGCGGATGCCTCCAGGGGAGTATTCGTCACGGACTGCTTTAATTTCTATCTCTTCTGAAGTAATCGTGAAACTGATCGAAGCTTACTTGATTCTTCATCGAAATCCTTTATCTTAAAAAGCAAATAGCTTTTGGTTGCTAGTAGGTCAGTGGTTGGGCACTCGGTTATAGTGCAGTATGCTCGTAAAGCTTGAGTTCAAATCCCGGTGTCTGCAGTCAAGAAATTGTTAACTGCAAATTTTAACTACTGGTTTACCACGAGTTGGGTGTTAAAGGAAGAACGTTGTGAGGCAACCTGCATATCTAATAAATTATAAATAGATATTTCGATGATACGTGACGTCTGCCATTCTGCAGTAGGATCGCGTCACAAACTATAGCGCTGTCCTGTCTCTTTGCCCAGCTGTGAGATATTGAATTTTACGTTCACCATGCTCAAGTATAATTGGAGTTAGTGGACAAAGGTCTGGTTACTGAGCCTCAAATATACCTACTTTAAAAATTTTCGTTTTGTTTACTAAAATGTGCACGCCAATTATTTAAATCACATAAAAATAGATCAATCTGCAGAAATTTTAAAAAGTGACACCAAACAGTTTGGCTAAGCTGAGATTGCGTGTACCCGGCTTGTATTGGCCTTTCCAAGCCGATTATCATAAAAACACCCCTTTGCAAACCCGACGTGACTAGCTCCAGTTAACCATTCCCCAGGGAACCCTTACAATAAAAAAGTTAAACGGCCAATGTTTGAATTATGTATCTTCGGCCAGAGCTACTGAGCAACCGAATTTTGGCTTATAAAAAACTCTTTCTTAATAATTAAACCCTTAACTAAATAAACAGACAATAAGAACAGTGTGCCAGCTTTTCATTACAAGCATCTACAATTTAAAACTCATCGATGTTTTCTAATCATTGAGCCTCAAATGTTGATGTCACTGTGATAGAGAGCCACAAAGCACTCTTTGCTGGTGCACATCCACATAAATTATTTACAATTTATATTTCATATTCTCTCCCACCCTTATTAAAATATATACATTTCTTTCTAAATATTGTCTGACATACAAAAACAAAATTATTTGGCGTGTACAGTCTATTTATAGCATCTTTATGTTACGAAAGAAACCTAATGTTCAAATTTTCGTTGGCTCAACTTTAGCGATTTATGTTGATGAGCAAGCCAATCGTCAGTCAGGCTTTACTTCATTGTAAATGGAATACTATAGATGGACTTTTACTACAACTCGGGAAATATAATTTGTCATTCATTTATCAATTTCAAACTTCGAAGGTCGAACGTTCAGTCTAATTTTGTAACACAACCTTAGTATTAAGTTAAACATTAACTTTTTATCCCCATTAAGTAACATGAAAGTCGGCCATAAGCGACTATAATATACACTATATAGTAGTATATGTCATATATAGTATAATATAGGATCATTATTTTATAATGTTAAAATTTCATCTGATAATTGAGTTCTTCACAATACAGAACATGGGTAGAAAACAAAATTTTGTCAGATGCATCAGATTTTGTCATTTGCTATTAGGACTAAATATTAAAAAGATGATTTAGACTTAATGTTAAGAAGCCGATGCTGCTCGTAATAATGAAATAAATATTGGTCTCACATCATGATTAGATACTGTTACAACACACAACTATAAAATGCAAATGTTCAGCACATTGACGGACGCGTATTCCGATTAAAATAAAGGTATTAGTTTCTTTAAGTTTCCGGGTGTTTTTCGACGTAAAAAAAAATGTAATTAGGTACAGAAAAATCATTAATAAAATAACACACCAAGCAGAATTTGGCGGTCGCTTATAGTTTTCGAGAAAATAAATTATTTAAAACGTAATTTTCACTAAGAAAGTTCACCATTTTTACCAATTTGACTTCAAAAACTGGATACACAGTACCGCCAACATGAAAAATATAGGAAGTGGGCGAAGATTAATTTTCTTTTAATTTTAAGAGTGACAGACAGATCCGACACAGAGCGATCCGACTCGGATAGGTTAGGTTAGAAGGTTAAGGCGGGAGCGAAACTCCCGCCTTAGTCTTCTATGTTAGGTTTTTTTTTATGACCACCCAGAAAACTTTAGTGTAACAGTACTTTTAGTATTTTTAAAGACTTTTTTAATAATGCGAAAGTTATAATTTGAAGAAGTATGTGAATTCGTAAATTTATACATGTCAAACACAAAATGGCGGATTAATTTAGTGAAAATAACAAGTTTTAAATATATTTTTTTTCTCGAAAACTATTAGCGACCGCCAAATTCTGATTGTTGATTATTTCATTAGTGATTTTTCTTAACCGAATAAACTTTTTGTTTGGTCGAAAACACCCGGAAACTTAAGGAAATTTTTACCAAAATAAATTCTAAACAATTGAGAAAAATCACTAATGAATTAATCAACAAGCAGAATTCCCCAGTCGCTTATAGTTTTCAAAATAAAATAATGAAATAGAGAAATTTTCACTAACACAGTACGCCATTTAATATTGAGTTTTGGAAGTAAATTTGGTAAATGTAAATAACTCTAACTCCGACGTAATTCAATTAAAATAAATTTTAAACGATAGAGAAAAATCTCTAATGAATTAATCAACAAGCAGAATTTGGCGGTCGCTTATAGTTTTCGAGAAAAAAAAAATTTAAAACTTGTTTTTTGTACTAAGAAATCCACCATTTTATTCGTTTGACTTCAAAAGTTCTTTACACAGTTCTGCCAACATGATAAATATAGGAAGCGGGCGACATCATACACGTATCGATATTCCGATTTTTTAAATTTAATGAGTCACAGAACCGACACAGAGCGAATCCGACTCGGATAGATTAGGTTAGAAGGTTCAGGCGGGAGCTCCGCTCCCGCCTGAACCTTAATGTTATGAACTTGAATGTTAGGTTTTTTTTTTATGACCACCAAGAAATACGAGCTGAATTGACATATTGACAGCAAAAAAATGGCGGATTTCTATAGTAAAAATCACACTATTTCATTATTTATTTTTTCGAAAACTATAAGCGACCGCCAAATTCTGCTTGTTGATAAATTCATAAGTGAGTTTTCTCTATCGTTTAAAATTTATTTGATTTGAATTACGCCGGAGTTAAAGTTATTTACATTTACCGTCAATTTTAACACAGTTCCACATTTTCAACATTAGCCCTCGTGGTCATTCTTTTTATGGCCACCCAGAAATTTGTAAGATAATATAGTAGAAATGACATATTGACAACAACAAAATGGCGGATTTCTATAGTGAAAATTACTCTATTTATTTTTTTTTCCGAAAGCTATAAGCGACCGGAAAATTCTGCTTGTTGATTCAGTCATTTGTGATTTTACTTTATCGTTATAATTTATTTTAATTGGAAAACGCGCCCGTCAATGTCCTGATAATTTACCCAATAAAAATATACATGCAGGTTATAACAGCTATAGGAGTTTAGTAAAAAAATGATCTTAATGCTTCTGTTCCCCCGAAGCCGATCGAATTATTTATTGCTAGACGGTAACCGTGTCTGTTTAAGAGGCATTCAAAATTGTCCTTCATTGTAAGTCACATTTTCTAACCATTTTGAACATATTTCAATAGACCGTTCTAAAGGTCAAAATGTAACCTTACCGGATAGAATCATCCCTTCATTATCATCGTATAAAAATTTCAACAATAACGCACAAAGACATGTCATCCACCTCCAATTTCAGTATGAGCAGGTTCCATAAAAAAAAAACCCAACTTGTTGCTTCTGCTAATTTTATAATAAATAACAGAGGCGCGGTCATCAGTTCGGAAGAAGTAGGCCGTGGTACGTGGCGCACAAAGACTCGGAAGAACTAGTTTTTCTTGCTTCCCTAACAACGTCAGTATCTTGACATTATTTCATTTCTGGCTCCGTCAACTGTCATTATGACAATGTCTCTAAAAAGTTTTTAAAATGCATCAATATTTCAACAGTATATTTAAAATCGTGTAAGAAAGAACAATAAACGGGCCCTCTTCAATCAATTATCATATACCTGCCACCACCGACAGGTAAGTTATGGAACAGCCAGATTATGTTGTTATCCCAACTTTTTGCGATCGCTGTATGGTTAATTGTGATAAGGAATCAGTTAATTCCCCGTTGAGGAGTATATCGCTGGAACCATCAGCCGATGGTGCTACAGGATTCCTCCTTATATATAAAAAATGAGGTCTACTTATTTCCACATTGACGTAAAATTCTAATGAAACTACGATATTCATCGACATTTTTGATTTTGACTACCGATGTTACAAATACTTATCGGTTTCATGACCACTAACTAAGGTTCTGACTGATGTCACTATTAAACCGGACTACCGTTAACAATATATGTTCCATAATAGCACTGTCATATTGAACAGTTATATCTATTACTGTTCAATATGACAGTCAGACAAAATCAGATGCATAAACTCACAAGACAAGCGCAGCCTCGTGTCTCTAGTTTAAGCTTTAAGTAGGTTAAAGAGTCTAGAAATTTCTCGTTAATAACATCCACATCGAACTTATTATAAACGATAAAAAAAATTCAATATTCATTTTCCACAGTCATTAAAATGTAAAAGA